AAATGATGAAAGAAAGATGTGATTATATATCGATAAATCGGAGATTCCTGACGATGGATCAAATCCATTGATTAATGAGCATCTTAACTTTCATGATGATCAACAAAGGTTACTGGCAAATACTATGGTTAGCAAACTGAACACAAAACAGCCTTTCGAATACCTGCAATTACAAACAGAAACACATGATCCAAACGATTAAGAGACTTGCAAAAAGAGAAAAGTAAACTCAACATAGAGAGACGGATAAATCACCTGGGACGAATACAAAACCTGCGAAACTGGATCTTCTCCAGACCTCTCAACTGTCCTCCAGCGGGTCTGGATCTCCTCCAGATCTCTCAAACCTTCTTCTTCGTGGCTTTCAACTCCGCCCTTCTCCCAAGAAGAGAGATGAGAATTCCCAACGCAGAGAGGACACCGAGGGAGAGAGAGAGAGAGAGCACCCGGAGAGGTGAATAACAAAAGGTGAGAGAGTAACATGCTAAAGAGAAGCAAAGTTTTCTTTAAGCACCAAGCTGAAGAAAAAGAAAAGAAACAGATCCTCTCAATTAATTAATGCCTTAGCCTGCACAAAACAGTAATAGCCTCTCTCAGCGTCGAACAACGCAAGGACTTTCCAAGCCCTCCCAGAGACAAAAAAAACCCGGTCTTTTCATACAGTAGAGAAAAAGCATGTCAAGGTATCTCTCTGTATCCACGAAACCCTTTTCTGTTTCTCGAACGACCCACCTCTCCACTGTCCAGGCATGTCACTCTGATCCACACATCCACAAACCCGCCAGATCTCCCACCGCTCAATGATCCCTCCCCAGCAGAACACCCAAAGCAACTGAATAAGCCTCGGTCCACGCACCCGCCTGGGCCAAAGCAGCATATAGATCTCTGATGACAAACGCGCGTCAGAGCCACCAAACGACCCCAATGCAGAGATACTGAGCAACACAACTCCTTTCAATCAACTGTTCAGTCCCTCTCATGGCCAACCATCTCCGAGCTATCCCATCTCCCAGCACAGTCTCTCCCAAACCCGCCAGATCTCCCACCACTCAACGATCCCTACCCAGCAGAACACCCAGAGAGTAACTGAAAACCCTCGATCCGCGTGCCCGCTCGGGCCAAAGTCAAATATCGATCTCTGATGACCAACGCGCGCCGGGGCCACCAAACGACCGCAACTAAGGCCAACCAGAAGCCAACGACCAGTCCCACACCGACCGAGACCCCAGAGCCCGCCAAATCCCACGCCAGATCCCAATGAGGCCTCACCCAATTGCATCCCACACCGAAGGACACGCCAGTTTGAAACAGTAAATCTCAGTCACGTTGTACAGTAAAAGGTGTCTGCGTGTACAGTACACGGGCATGCGGCGGGTTTCTTTCTTTCAATTATGAAATTCACATGAATATACTAATCTGTTTCCTTTAGTACATCGAGTCAAAATAAATAATTAAAGGAGCCAATAAAATTTTTAATCCCTAATTCAAACAATGGAGATTTAACAAACCATTTTCTTCTGTATCTACTCGAGATGATTTGTTCTCTAATAGTCACCAAAACATAAAAATAATTTTTCCTAATTGGATGTCTAAGTTAAAAGTCAAAATAATTAGAAAAATGAAAGTAAAGATTAAAAATAAAATGCTGGCCGCCAAAACAAGGCCATAGCCCATAGGACCCGATTCGCGGTAGAAATTAAAGAGCAGCCATTTTCTGATTTTCTCTCTCTTTCTTCGCCTCTTCTTCTTTTTTTTTTTCCTTCCACATCAGAATCTGCCTTTCCACCCTTCTTCCTTCCTTCATTTCCTTCTCTCTCACCGGCGGGAGAGAAGAAGCCGCCACCGTCCAAAAACCTTAACATATTACACCGCCGCACGCAGCGGCCACCGTTGAAAGCAGAATTACAAAAATGCAGAAGCCTTTCCAGGATCAACGGTCGAGATCTTCCAAGCCCGCCACCATTCATGCCTGTGCCCAGTCCGGGGATCTTCCCGCCGTCCAGAAGCTGCTCCGTGACAATCCTTCTCTTCTCAATGAGAGCAACCCTGTGGTGAGATCATTCCCAATCCTCATTCCATTTCCCCCTCATTTTCTTTTATTTCTCTGCTTAAAGAATCCAACTTTCATCCATCCTTCCCAATTTGGGTTTCTGGGGAGGATTCATAATTTGCTAAACAGCGTTCTTTGCAAGATTAGCTTCGATTTTTGTTCATTGTCGTATTGGGTATAGGAATCTATCGAGGGTTCTTGGACGGGCTCCGTTTTGGGTTTAAATGTTCCTTGTGTTAGTTCATTGAAGCTCTTATGGAGATTGTTGAAACTAGGGATGCTTTTGCTTTCTTGCTAAGATTTAGATTCCGGAAGTAGGAGAGATTTGGATGGCGATGGAGGCATTGACCTCGACGAATAGCCCTGTACCACTTAAGATCTTCTTTGGCTAGATTTGTAACTAATCTCCGAATGCTTAACCAGAGAGTTCAGAACAGGATTTGCTTATCTTTCCATGCAGGATTTCTCTTAAAAATTTCAAAATTCCCTGCTATTGCAGATGTCACAGACTCCTCTTCATGTTTCTGCTGGTAATAACAAAGTGGAGATCGTCAAATTTCTGCTTAGTTTGAAAGGTGCCGAGAAAGTTGAATTGGAAGCCAAGAACATGGTGAGCTCAATTTTAGTTATTGTTATATTCCCTGGAGGTTGAGCTCAATTTTAGTTGTTGTTATGTTCCATGGAGGTTGTTATAGAAGTCATTGATCCATATTGATTCTCCTGCTCCTTGTTGACTTTTGCACTGTAATCTCAACTTTGCCAGTACGGAGAGACTCCATTGCACATGGCAGCGAAGAATGGGTGCAACGAGGCTGCACAGTTACTCCTTTCTCATGGGGCTATCATTGAAGCCAAAGCTAATGTAAGTAGATTCTTCACTGGTCTGATTTAGTTGGGAAAATCATGGTTCCCTGCCCAGTGTGGAAAGCAACTAACTTGTACTCTTTCTTTTGGGTGTCTTATCAGAATGGTATGACTCCACTACACCTAGCTGTGTGGGACTCTATAAGATCAGATGATTGTTCGACAGTCAAGACATTGCTGGAGCATAATGCTGATTGTAGTGCAAAGGACGATGTAATCTATCATCACTAACTATTCTGTTGCTGACTTTAATTTTGGGCTTACATGGTTTTGATTGCTTGATTCATGTTAATTTTCAGGAGGGCATGACTCCTGTGAACCATATCTCGCAAGGTCCTGGCAGTGAAAAGTTGCGTGCCCTATTAAACCGGCACCTTGAGGAGCAGAGAAGGAGGCGAGCAGTGGAAGCATGTAGCGAATCAAAAGCTAAAATGGAAGAACTTGAGAAAGCATTGTCGAGCATAGTAGGGTTGCATGAACTCAAGGTTCAGCTAAGAAAATGGGCTAAGGGAATGCTTTTGGATGAGAGGCGCAGGGCCCTCGGTCTGAAATTGGGCTTTCGAAGGCCTCCTCACATGGCCTTTCTTGGAAATCCCGGAACAGGTAATTTGGTCGTCTGACATTTCCAGAGCAATGTAGTGTCTGGCATTGCAGTCTGTGTCTTTCAATGTTAGCAGTTTCTCTCTTAGTTTCTGATGGTGTTGCTTGTAATTTCCCCCCTCTCATCTGGCTACAGGTAAGACCATGGTGGCTCGAATTCTTGGAAGATTGCTGCATCTAGTTGGTATCCTACCAACAGATAGAGTGACAGAAGTACAACGTACTGATTTGGTTGGTGAATTTGTCGGCCATACCGGTCCAAAAACCAGGAAGAAGGTATACTTCAATAACAGTTTTCTCAGGGTGCTCTTATATAAAAGATGCTATAGATGATCCAACATGTTCTTCATTATGCAGATCAAAGAAGCCGAGGGAGGAATTCTGTTTGTGGACGAGGCATACCGACTCATCCCAATGCAGAAAGCAGACGATAAAGACTACGGGTTAGAAGCCTTGGAAGAGATAATGTCGGTTATGGACAGTGGCAAAATCGTGGTCATATTTGCAGGATACAGCGAACCCATGAAGCGTGTAATTGCTTCCAACGAAGGCTTCTGCAGAAGGGTGACCAAGTTTTTCATGTTCAACGACTTCACTTCTCAAGATTTGGCCGAGATCGTCCACATCAAGATGACTAATCAAGAAGAGCAAGCTGACATGCTGTACGGCTTCCAGTTACATCCCTCGTGCAGCACCGATGCTGTATCGAGATTGATAGAGAGAGAAACCACGGAGAAGCAGAGGAGGGAGATGAACGGAGGGTTAGTAGACACGATGCTGGTGAATGCTAGGGAGAATCTGGATCTCAGACTAGATTTTGACTGCATCGACGCCGAGACACTAAGGACGATTGCGTTGGAGGATCTGGAAGCCGGGTTGCGACTCTTGTCTCAGTTTTGACTTGATCGATGATCATTTGGTGATAGTGTCTCTCTACTTTCAATTCTTGGATAGCTGCTATTGATTCATTGGGGATAAGCAGGGCTTATGTGTAGATATAGCAACAGCAACAAAATCTTGTATTATTTGCCAGGATTCACTATATTAGGCTTATCATTCATTTTGGCCATCCCATTCTCGAATCCATCAGTCATTTTTGCAGGGATGTTATGTTGTGATCTGCATTGCTGTTACAGAGTGTAATCGTTTACCAAGTTTGTGTTCCTCAGTTTAAGCTTTTCTTATGATAAGGAAATGTTGCCAAGGTGCAATCTTTTTCGAAAATGGCATAACGGGTGGAGTTGGTGGAGATTTATCAGTAAACCATTTTAGTCTTTCCCTTGAGCCTGATTGTTTTCTGGGCCATTAGCATTTGCGTGCAAGCGAAGAACAGTTCTTGGAATGGCAACAGGACCGACTAAAAGTGGATCAATATGTGGAATAAAGATTGAATTTTTCTTACAAACATGTGATGATAAATAAAAATCTTGATTTTTTTTTTCCCGATTTATTCATTAAAATTTGCATTATTATTGGTCCAGATACCATTCATTTGATCATTTCCAATTGAATGGAATAATTAGCCCGGAGCTGTTCTCTGGATAAAAGGGTCTGGTTCTCAGTTCAAAACTGTAAAGTCCCCTTCTCTGTTCCCGTCGGCGGGTGAGCGGTCTCAGCTTCTTTCTCGTTTATATCACACGCTGCTTCAGCCAGAACTGCCGCCGATACCACTTCCACCTCCTGCCCTTTGAAATTGAAACCCAACCCTAGCTGTAAACCCACTCTTATCTTCTCCAGACCACTAAATTCCCGTTCCTTCCGCAGCTCCCGAGCTTCAACCATCTCGGCCTTTTACTCCTCCGCTAGCTCTCCGTCCTCGCCTTACGAAGATGGGTCCCCGGAGATGTTCCTGCAGAGCAATTCGATTGCAGATTTCATGAGGTTTAAGAGAGGGTACGATAGAGGCAGCGGCGAGTTGCAGACGGCGGTTGTCCGGTACCGGAAGCGGTTCCCTTGGTCTATTCTCAGGCCTTTGCTTCAGGTGAAAGCTAAAAGCTCGTCGTCATTTGGTGATCGTTTTGGTCATTTACTCGCCTAACCCATCAAGCTTACTTTCTGGGATAATTTGCAGGTTGATTTGGTTTCCACCATTCACATTGCTGACAAAGAGTAAGTTCATTATGCTCTTTAACCCATCGATCCGAATTTTGCTGGTTGGGTTTACTATGAATTGAATGAATCCGGTAGTCAGAGTGTTGGTAGCAATTTGGGTTTGGCGGATATAGCTTCTTGAGCGTAGTGATAATTTGGATTGTCTCACAGGTACTTCTCGGCCCTTCAGAAGGAGCTCGGGTCTTATGACTGTGTCCTGTATGAAATGGTGGCCAGTAAAGAAAGTTTAGAGAACAGAAGAAACCCTTCTGCTATAAGGAGGCTGAAAGGTCCTCGGTCAAGAGGGTTTAACATTTTAGGGTTCATTCAGCGTCAAATGGCTCGAATTCTCACCCTTGATTTCCAGCTAGACTGTCTTGATTATGAAGCAGAGAATTGGTATCATGCTGATCTCGATTTCGAGACATTCAAACTACTTCAGGTTGGTTCATCTTATCTGTTCATGCTTGTTGATTTTCATATGCTAAATGAGTGTATTCACTTTGGGTTGTTTACTGCAGCTTGAAAAGGGCGAAAGCTTGTTCACATTTGCGAGAGACATGACCCTTAAGTCGACGAAAGCCATGCTTCAGCCCACCATACCAGATAACCTCGGCCCTTTGCGATCCAAGCTTCTCTGGGCATCTCGGGTTCTTCCTATGCCCCTCGTTGGCCTTTTCCTTATCGGAACTCTCTACAATGTGGGAAGCCCAGCTTCAGACTACGCTGAAGTAGAAGCCCTTTCCCGGCTCGATTTTGGTGCTGCCATGAAGGTCTTTCTTGCCAATCGACTCACAACCGAGTAAGTTACTGTTTGAAATCCCCCCAATAGTTCAAGAACTTGATTTGAGTCAAATTCCAAAAAGTTAACATTTTGTTTTGTTTTGTGAAGGTTCACTCAGGTTACTACTGACGTGGAAGAGAAGTCGGTGATCATTGGAGAAAGGAATAGGGTAGCCATGGAAGCACTGAAGAAAGCAATGGATGGAGGCCAAAACAAGATCGCCATACTCTATGGCGGAGGTCACATGCCGGATTTGGGAAGGCGGATGAGGGAAGAATTCGATTTGGTTCCCTCCAAAGTTCAGTGGATAACTGCATGGTCGATAGAGAATCGCGATGTAAAGACCAATTCCCTTCCGTTCCTGGAAACGATGGCTGAAGTTTCAGGGTGGTCATTGAACCGGTACCAAACTCTGGCATTGCTCATTTTCTCGTCAGTCCTAGCCGTAGATCTCTGGTTCTGGGAGATCTTCTTTGGCACTTCAGTGGATTTCGTGTCACAAATTGCCGAGTCAGTCAATGAATATGTTGGCCAATACCTGGTTTGAGAGAAATCCACACCCGATTTTCTTCCTTTAAAAGTGATTGTTGATATCAGTTCATCCAAGTAGATACACAAGTTACAGTGTGTATATATCTCAAATCCTGTTCAATGTTGATAAACTGTGAAATATTTTTGTTCGAACATTTGAACTGCACTATTGATTGATATACAGAGTTACAGGCTTACAGCAGCTGGAAAATATGAAATGTATACAGAACCAGATTCGCAGGTTTCCAGGAGTACTGACTTAGGACATAGCCGATGATGCTGTGGCTATGTTCTTCTTTCTTCCTGGTTCTACCATCATCCCTGAAACAGACTATGAAGGTAAATGAATTTCCTTTTCTGAAGCTGGACTTCAACCTGACGGCTACAGAGCAGAGGTCTTCTGACCACCTTTTGATCGAAGCAAAATGCAGAAAAACAGAGGGTCACTAAAGACGGAGATATAATAATGATGTTTTCTTTGCGAAGCTACGCTCTTTCGACGGCTGACTGGGAAGAGAGATCCTTTCCAGGTTTTCGGCCAATTGTGTGTTCCGAATTGCAGATTATGTTAGTGTTGATGAAAGATTCATCCGAATTGCAGATTCATTCAATTGTGTGTTCAAATATTTGAACTGCTAATTAGAAAGCCCTTTATTGACTGTATCTCCAGAGTTACAAGCTGGAAGATATGAAACATGGGAAAACAGAGCTGCAAATTAGTTCAAGTACTTGATTCCATTCAAAACCCGAGTAAAAAAGGTCTTATTTGGTTCTTCTTATTAGTTTGTGTTTAGGATTATTATTATTATTATGTCTTGTTTAGGAAGTAATCATTTGCTTATTGGTTTAGGATTTATTTACCTTGTCTTAAGGGGAAGGAGTTTGTAGTTGTAGGATTAGTCCTATAAATATGTACATTTGCTCTTCTATTTTCATTCAAGTAATAAAGTTCACTATCTATTTTTAAATTAGCTCTCTTTTATAATCCGATCAGGCTGCCCCAATCCCCTTACCGGCTCCCGAAAAGTTTCAACGATGGCGGCTTCTTCCCCTGCCAACTCCAACTCCAACGACTATGTGTCAATGGATTCGCTTGCAGATTTCTTAAGGTTCAAGAAAGGTCCCGTTAGAGGCACCGGCGAGTTGCAGACGGCCATTGTCAGTTACCGGAAGCAGTCCCCTGAGTCTACCATCAGCTCTTCTCTTCAGGTTTGCTCCTCTTCGACTCATCCAGTTCGTTTTTTCGGTGGCGTGGGATGTTTTCGTTTCGCTCGGATTTCATGTTTTATTTGTCTGACCAGGTTGATTTGGTTTCCGCCATCCACATTGCTGACAAAGAGTGAGTTACTCGTTTGATTCTGCTCTTTTTTTCCACATATCAAAAATCTTGCTTTCTTGGGTTTACTATGAATCCCTTTTGGTCTGAGGTGCATAACTCAAGCTGATTATAATCTCGCGCAGGTATTACTCGACCCTCCAGAAGGAGCTTGAGTCTTATGACTGTGTCCTCTATGAAATGGTGACAAAAGGGAAGAAAGAAAACCCAGAAACTGCCACAAGGCTGCGGCTGATTTTGAGAACAATGCACAGCTGGTTCGACCGTATACTTATAGATTTCGGTCGCCGCCTAATGGAACCAATTCTCTCCCTTGATGACCAAGTAAAGTGTCTCAATTACGAGGCGGAGAACTGGTATCATGCTGATCTCGATAACGAGACATTCACACGACTTCAGGTTTTCCATCTCTTCTATCTATTAACTAGCTAACACATATCATACTAGTAAACCACGAAAATCTAAATATCTTATTCAGTTTTTGTATTTTTATCTTGTTCAGTTTTTTATTTTCTTTGCTTTGTCGATCTTCCGATTTCCCGATTAGAAGAAACAGTCTTGACGTACTGATTTCACTCGCAGTATGAAAGGGGTGAGAGCGTCTGGACATATGCGATCCCCAAGTCGAAAGGTAAGCTGCTGATCTGGGCGGCGTTTCTTCTGCTTCCGACATCCGTCGCGATTGCTGCAATTCGTCTCTGCACTGGGAGGAGTCCAGCTCCGTACTTCACTGAACTAGCAGGTGCACTCTCTCGGCTCGATTCCGATGCTGCCATGAAGGTCTCTTTTGCCAACCTACTCACATCTGAGTAAGTTAGCTATTCAAAATTCATAATTTCCCCCTGATATGGCATCAAGAATTCGATGCAATCGACTCCCAATAAGGCGAATAACCATGCTTTTTCTTCTTTTCCCCTGAAGGTTCGTTCAGAAGACGGTTGATGAGGAAGAGAAGTCGGTGGTGATCGGAGAAAGGAACAGAGTAGCCATTGAAGCACTGAAGAGAGCCATGGATGAAAAGGGTCATCACAACAGCAAGATCGCCATTTTCTATGGAGCCGCTCACATGCGGGATCTGGGAAGGCGGCTGAAGGAGGAATTCGATTTGGTGCCTTCGGGACAACACCGGTGGATGACCGCCTGGTCAGTAGAGAAAGCTTCAGGGTGGACATTGCACCGTTGCCTGAATCTGGCATTGCTCTGCACCTGGTTCTCACCGATCCTTTCTAAGGATCTCCTGTTCTGGAAGAGAGTATTCGGTCGATTTCATATCCAGAAGTCCAGAATTGCAGATTATGTTAGTCGATGCCTTGTGTGAGAATAATCCAGCACCTCGCCTTCTTCTTTTACTTCCTCTCGTAGATTCTTGTTTATGATCGATCACAATTCACAACTGTAATGCACTTATTTCAGGATCCCTGTTGATAAAAATTTTGAAAGGCGTTTTATGATTGATATGTAGCATTACATGCTGGAAGATATGAACACTTGGGCAAACAGAGCAGAGAACTAGAGAAACTATATTAAGTCTTGCAAAGTTGGCGTCTTTCCACGATTTGTCTGCCGCTAGAAGTCTTTCCACAATTAAGCAGAGGCTCTGTTTTTCTTCCTTGGCGCTGCCATCGTCCCTGAAAAAACAGAGGATGAGTGTAAATACAGAGGATGTTATTTTTCAGAATTACAGAGTGTGTTCTAAGTAAATCTAGGAGAAATTCAAGTTTGGGAATTTTGCCTTCTCTGAAGCTATACTTGAACCTGACGCAAACTGACTGGAGGTACCTCATCCTTCCGGTACCAGTCGTCCTCCTCCGTTTGGCCTTCTCGCTCCAATTATCTGACAGAAAATTGATCGAAAACAAAGTTTGAGAGATGCAGAGAAACATAGAGAGTCGATTTCCTCATGAGAGGCAAAGAGAGGAAGATAAACATTTTCTCAGGCGAGCGGCGGGGAAGCCGCAAGAAGCGCAGCGGCTCTTCTGGAGGTGGAAGCTGCGGCGGCCGCATCTGATGCAGAGAGTATGCGTCTTGTTCCTCCTCTTACCGAAGCTCGCTGTTCCTTTCGTCTGCCCCAGAATAAAAAAATAAAAAAACAGACAAATTTTAGAACTTACCCCGATTGGAATCGAAACAAAGACGAACACTCAACAAACAGTTACAAATACAAGAATCTTTCACCATTGCTTCCTCTGTTTTTTTCTTCTTCTTCTTCTTGTGTTGCCTTGCTTCAGCACTCTGTTTTAGGCGGAGAAGCAGAAATTGTGCAGGGCGGGTGAGGATTCTATTTGGGTTGTGATCTCGGTGGGTTTTGGACGATCTGGAGGTAGGGGCTTGGTGGCAGTGGTAACGTGTCAGCGGAACTGATAAAGCTGGGTAGGTCACCGGTGTAAGGACAAAGTGCACTGCTTTGTTTTCCGGCTTGTAAAAAGCTACTAAACGGCGGCGGTGAAAACTTCAAGAGGTGTTCATAGTAGGAACTTACTTCATAAGCTTATGATCAAAGTTTTGGAATCTTTACAAATCAACTCTATATTTACATATTTCAACAACCCCTAAATTTTCATTTTAACATATTGTAACGGTAACCATTTATGTGTGACATGTCGCGTCGCGCTAGTGCAACACTGGATTAGTAGCAATATAAACTACACTAATAATATCTACATAGGAAAGTACTTAGAACTTCACTTAGAATGCCAACTCCTCAACCAAGCGATGCAAATGCAACCATACCAATTCAGAACTAACTTCATATACATACTATACTTGACTTTTGTACGTTCTATCCACATGATCCTGCTTTTTACATCGTCAAAAAATGATCGGATGTCCAAACTTCGGACACCATCTAGAACAAGATTTTCGAGTGTCAAGATACTCGACATTTGCATAGACTAAAAGACACATACTATCAGAATATGAGAAATAAATACCAACTTGTGAAGTACCTTTCAAGTATAGCGTAAAATTCAATGAACTACATCCAAATGAGATGTGTGAACAGCTCACATAAATCGAAGTATGTTGACATGTTTCGTGGGTTGGTCTTATTTAACCATTCGAGTACACTATTAATAGGATAGGCGTTAGTAAATACTCATGATATAGCATACATAAATATCTTCAATGCTTGCACTCGAAAACTTTAATCATCAGCGCACGCGATGACATTGTGTAAGCACATACTAGCACATAATTAATTAGTACCCAAGTTCTTAAGTATAGTACATGAAATGAACGTGGAAAATGGCAAATCCCATAAAGAAGTACCAAACCAGGAAATTCATCACGAACAATTACCATCCTTTTTTTGGCACCAAAATCTCGACACTTGATTATAAAGTACGGAGCTCGATTCTGTTTCCATGTCGAGGAAGAACAACAGATATTATTCCTTTCCAATTCAACCACAGGACGGATATACTCCTGTCATGCGTTTGGTCAATCTCACTTCTCCTCCCAAATTTGTTTTTTTCTTCAACCCTTTTCGTGAAAGCTCCAGTCTTTTGATTCAGAAGATAGGGACATGCAAATCAACGACACTGCTTCTTCTCCGGATTCAGACGCCAGCGGCGGTGACTGTTACCGCCGCCGCCCTGATTCTGAATCTTCTTTCCGGAATTCCCTCAAACGGGTCGGTTACTACAATAATGGAGGCTCGTCATACGGTGATGAGAAGTCGACCGTTAACGACTACGCTCTCGCCGGAGCTATTCTCGCCTCCGCAAACTCCGTCCTCCTGGGCTACGGTGAGTTCCCCTGTTTTCAGGTCAGGGTTGCTCCGGCTAATCAATTGGAGTATTGGACTAACCAATTTGGGATTCGGCCCAATTTTCATAGCCTAATTGATTGAGAGTGTACTTGATACTAGTTAAAATCATGATTCTATATTGAAGTGTTTTGGTAATCTAAAACGTAAAATTATAAGCACTTAAACTTTAGATTTGATTATAATTGTAAGTAAAAATTGAAAAGTGTTATTTGACGTAGAACCATTTTGATGACCTAGAACTATAAAAACGTACAATTTTACGTTTTATACTGCGATTTTGACTACATTGCTTGTCATAATATTTTAGACATCGGAGTAATGAGCGGCGCGGCGCTATACATCAAGGAAGACCTCCAAATCACATCGACCCAAGAAGAAATCCTCGTTGGCTGCCTCAACGTATGCTCGCTAATCGGCTCCTTAGCCGCCGGGAAAATCTCCGACCAAATCGGCCGGCGTTACACCATACTCCTCGCAGCAGCCACATTCTTCCTGGGCGCTATCCTAATGGGACTCGCCCCTTCCTTCCCGTATCTCATCGCCGGCAGGGTCGTCTCCGGAATCGGCGTCGGATTCTCCCTAATGATCGCTCCGGTCTACTCGTCGGAGCTCTCCCCTGCCTCCACCCGCGGTTTCCTCTCCTCCCTCCCGGAAGTCTTCATCAACGTCGGAATCCTCCTCGGCTACATCTCGAATTACTTCGTCGCCGGCGGCGGCCTCCCGTCGAGCCTCAATTGGCGGGTAATGCTCGGATTGGCCGCATTCCCCGCTCTCCTGGTAGGATTGGCCGTCGTTTTCATGCCCGAATCGCCCTACTGGCTCGTCATTAAGGGCCGTTTCACCGAGGCGAAACGCGTCCTGATCAGAACCTCCTCCTCGGAGGAAGAGGTCGAATTGGTCGACTCGAGGATGAACGAAATGGTGAAGGCAATTTCGATGGAGGAATTGCCGCCATCCAATGGGTTTTGGACCGAGCTGGTCTCGGTTCGGTCGAAGGCGATTCGACGAATCGTGATCGCGGCGGTCGGGGTCAATTTCTTCATGCAGGCTTCCGGCAACGACGCGGTGGTTTATTACAGCCCGGAGGTGTTCAAGGTCGCCGGAATTTCAAGCAGGAAACAGCTATTTGGAGTCACGGTGATAATGGGAATAGCTAAATCTTCTTTCGCCTTGGCTTCGGCTCTGTTTCTTGACCGGTTCGGGAGGCGACCGCTTCTGCTGCTCGGTTCGACCGGGATGGCGGTTTCGCTGGCTTTATTGGGCCTGGGATCGAAGTATCTGGACTGGTGCGAGGATGAAAAGCCCGTTTGGGCTGTTGTGTTGTGTGTTGTTGCGGTCTGTGCTGACGTGTCGTTTTTTTCGATTGGGCTTGGGCCGATTACTTGGGTTTACTCGTCGGAGATTTTCCCGACGAGGTTGCGTGCGCAAGGGTCCAGTTTGGCGATCTCCGTCAACAGGCTGGTGAGCGGAGTGGTGGCGATGACGTTTCTGAGCTGTTCGGAAACGGTGTCTTTTGGCTGGATGTTCTTGGGGCTGTCGGGGGTAATGGTGATGGCGACGGCTTTCTTCTATTGTTACTTGCCGGAGACGAAAGGAAAGACGTTGGAGGAGATCGGGGTTCTGTTTGAGGATCAGGACGATGAGCATCGAAGGCTCATTGTTTCTTGATCTTTTCAGTCTTTTTTGTTGTACTTATAGTGGTAAGGTACCAAATTCTCATGCAATTTTTAATACTTGGGGAATATTTTGTGCTTAATTGCTTTCAGTTGTGTTGTTACAAGAATGGTTGTAGTGGAAAAGTTAGTGATATGGTATTTTATGTTGAAATTGTATTTCAATCGTGAATAAATCATTTCAAATCGTTATATACTGCCTATTAATTTGGCTTTCGTTAGGAAATTTTTCCGGTCGAACTGCTAGTATCGTACCGTTTACACCAAACTTAAAAGGACTATTTGCTTGGTGGTAAGTTACAGAAATATCCCTGTCGCTATCGTACTAGGTCTGGGCTCGAAGATCCTTGAGCACTCGGACACCAAGTCACTATGGGCCGTCACGATGTGCATGGTCGCCGTCTACGGGTTCGTCTCGTTCTTCTTCATTGGGCTTGGGCCCATTATATGGGTCTACTCATCTGAGATTTTCCCGTCGAGGCTGGGGGCCCAGGGATTAGGGCTGGCGATCTCCGCGAACCGGTTGGCCAGCTGGTGTTGATGACGTTTCTGACCGTTTCGACGAAGAGTGTATGATAACGTTTGGAATTGGAGGGATGTTCTTCGTCCTAGGTGGAATTGACCACTTAGAATTAGAATCAAAATATATGTGTCTAAAGTTCCCACCTTTCGTAACAACTAAGAAGGAGTAGCTAGTTAGGAATGTGATTAGTGTGGTATAAGATAGGTTTCGCTTTGAAAGGATATTATAATTAATGGGTAGTTGAACTTTGCTTAGTTTTGTGATTAAGGGTTATTTGGTGGACTAGCTAAAGGGTTAGACCGGCTTGAGGGACTAGGTTTTGACGGTTTGTTGTGCATGGATTATTGATGTGTAGTTGTAAATTGGTTGGTATGTAAATGACTAATATTAGAGTTTAGTTTGATTTTATTTTACCGTGAGATATATGCTTCGTGGAACGTGGATGAGCGACAATTTAATTATGGCGTTAGGTGATTCAAGTCTTCATAGGTAATATTTGTAGTGATAATGGAATCAGAGATCTCAGGGTGTCTAAAATCAATATATGTTTGTTGATAAATATCAAACGTGGGTTGTTGAGTGATGCGGATCATGGTTTGCTGCCAGTGACGCCATCCCATGATAATATTGAGTGTAGGCCCAGTTCGACCCTTAAACCGAGACTCGTCTTCCTTAATCTCGGCTAGCTAGGGTTTATGGTTCATGTATATATATACAACAAGTCAACAACACTTAATTGTAGGTTAAACAGAATAAGAGATTCGATTGCTTCAGCCGTGAAATAGTCTTGTTCTACTCTGAACAAAGAAACCACGTAAATCCATGTATATGTTTTTTCTTTCTTGATAGATCTCTCAATTTCGATTCGATTCGCTTTTCATTTTGCTGGTCTAACATTGGTATTATTAATGTCGCCTAACTGGACAAATTTGAATAATTTTTTTTTCCCCGAGAAGACAAATATGAATAGATGTAAATGATAAGCATAATTGGAATAAACTATCTGTATAGACACGAAGAAATAAGGAGAGAAAAAGCAAGCCCCTTGACATTTTTTTTATAAAAACTTTATGAAAAATGAATCTCTTGAATGCAAATCAAGATTAAGAATGACTGTCCAATCTGAAAGTGAATGTAACCATCATGAAAGAATCTGATAGCAACTTCATCGGCTTATCTCAAAATCTTTCATCTTATAGCCAAAGTTTGGTTTTTATTGGTAAGGAAAAGTAGCAGTGGAGCATATTGGTAGGGAAAAGTAGGAAAGAAGAAGGCTATATGACAAATTAAGATTTTTGAACATAATAATGGAGATGAGATAATTGTTCTTCCAAACTGTTTACTGAGCCTGTTTAAGGGTCAACTTTAGTCATGCAATAGGAGATTTTTCTCATAATTTTGCTGGTGAAGATAAAACTTGGACTGCATTGCTAGAGACATTACAGAGGAATAGAGAGGTAAGATATTTGTGATTATATATGGTACAGAAAACGAGACTAACTATTAGTAGCACGTCCGAGCAAAGAGACATTTGCGCGAGTTTTTGGAATTATCCGACCCCATGCATTAACACCCAATTCGTATTCTATCATGTTGTGAATTTCAAAACTCACATCGACTCATCAAACATCATCTACAACATGATAAATGGATTCAGCAAATGGATTTATTGAGTACAATATCTCACTGTTCAACCCTACCCGTTATACCAATTTTGGCTAAAGTGCTGATAATCATATTCATCATCAGGACCAACTTAATTCCTTTTAACATTTCTCACGGATGATCCATTAAAAAAGAACACGAGCCAAGCAAGAAAGGACAAGCACCACATGAAACAATGGCGCAATGCAAACCCACAATATGCTCATCACTATCACATAAATCCACATGTGTCCACTCCAAAACCCAACCCTAGCTTTCTTATAGGGAATTCCAAATCTCTAAAGTTGGAAGAAACAAACTAGGGTTTTGAAATTTTCAGAGCTCCAATCACAGCCAAAAAGAAAGTAGTGGGGATGGGTGTGGCTTCAGGAAATGATGACGCATTGATGATGGATGGAAATGTCAAAACTAGGAGTCGTTGTTCTTTCTGCTTGTCACATATGTATTGATCATATCCATCATCGAGAAGCTGAAACGACCTTTCCCCCCACAAAAAAAAAACTATGTCGTTTAGCAGTTTGGTAGTGTGCATGTTTGAAAAGATTGGTGGGAGCACTGCCGTACGTGTTTTGGTTCTCTTGGAGGGTTGTCTCTCCCTTTAGATGCCGCTTTGAAAATTGGTGATTGTATATATAAGCCCTTGATTACACGCACACACGGATAGTACTAACCTTAGTTATACCTAACCTAGGCTACTATTAAAATATGAGAGACGAGACTGATATGTTTCTGTACTGTTTGCCATCGCTCGACGTCGGCCGGGAACACTCGTGACGTGAATCCAATTGAGAGTGCGAGGAGGAAGGATTGAGAAAGACTGAGTATGCTTCCCATTGCAGAATGAATCATGAGAGATGAGATTACAATGCAGGATCAACCTTCATACCTAATTTCTTGACCAGGAAAGCTAACTCAAGAGGAGAGAGAACGGAGGGAAAGTTTGTTACTTTCCTTTCCTTAACCAACTGATTAATCTAAACTACATTTTCATACCCTAACTTCCTAGTTCTTAAACTAACGGTGTCGGGGAACTTTATGGTGTGTACAATTAGATCCACTTCATCATAATCAAGTATATATGATTGTGTTCGATCGAGGGCACTCTTGCCATTTGATCAGCAATACGTACAGTACATGAAGAAAACGATTGACTTTTTTCGACCCTTCGCTCACTAAGTGATGGACACATTGTCATTTTGGATAAACATGTGGAAGCGATCAACTCCCGTCCCGACTAATTAATTAATATGATCTCACACCTCGACGAATGAGGTTGCTTCGATCAATGATCATGAACAGCTAGTACAGTGCACAACAATGACTTAAGCCCGTTTATTAATCCAATATCAGTTATATGTTTTTAGGTGGGGGTAAAAAAACATAAAAAAAAAAAAGGAAGGAAAGGTCGTGCTGCATGTATTTCAAAAGAAGTCTTTGAACTTTGACAACCACAAAAGGATTTTGGTCCCTCCCGCAAGAATACATGGAAAAGGTGACAAATTTTCACCTTTGTCCACTCTCCACTCTCTCAAATCTAAAGATTTCAAAAGCACACTCTCTCTCTAGCCCAAAGTTTTTGGGTTCAGGGGTTGTTTCAGTTTCAATGCCGGAAAAGAAACCCATTATTATTAGGATTTGTTTGAAAGTTGCTATTATTAAATAGATATATTGTTTATATGTAAATATTAATGAATTTATACATTGTGAGAATATAAAGTATGATGCGTGTGATTGTGTATATCATCGTAGCTAAAAGTTTAAGTATAATAATCTCAACTCAACTATCTCACGAATTCCAGCTAAAAACCGAGACATAATAATCACTCATCTTGAGTGATAATTTATATCACATCACATAAAAAATTCATGTATCGTATATGCATAAAAGTCAGAAAAAGAATACATTTTAAACAATACAAATATAATAACATTCTCAGGAAAATAATCGCAACTTACAGACGACGCCTTACTACAAAACTATTAGTTTCAAATTTTCATGCAAATTAAATGAATTTTTCCTCAGCTAAAACAACCCTAAGAAATAAACAAATTTCCAGTAATGAAAAGGGTCGTTATGTCCCCCATCTAAACAATAATAAAGACAAAGGTACAAAATTACTACAACAGGAAGCTTGGTGTATATATGAAACGTTTCTTCCTGCTGCTCCTCATTTCAGTGGGTGAAGAAGGGAAAATGCCCTAGCTATCTAGCTTTATTCAAATTCTTAGAACAGAGTGCTAAATGCTGTACATAAGAAAGCTACAAGACAAACACAGCTACTACTGCTTTGGAATAACACTCTCTCCATTATTCCTTGATGCTACCTAAAAAACATACATATGTGGGTCATATTTAGGGATGACAACAAAACCCGAATCCATGGGTATCCACCCGACCCAACCAGGTCAACGTGGGTAAAATCCGTGTTGACGGATTTTGGGCCGGGTTTGGGTTTAAACCCATTCACTATTCACCGGGTTGGGTTGGGTTTAGGTAAACCCGACCCATGGGTACCCGCTCACACTCATATAATTAATTTTCTCGGCATATTTAATATATCAAACAACTAATCTTATTTATGTTTGTTGAGACATGTCTAATTTTTTCTTTCTAGTTATGTAGAATGAAGTTGATGTTATCGAGTGGAGAGTGAAAAACTTAATTGAAAGGAAGAAGTTTTCAATTAATCATGTTATTTATGGATAATTTGTGAGTTGCTTCAATTTTCTTGAGTTTTCTATATTGGTGTTGAACAATTTGTATGGTTAATTTGTGATTTGCTTGAATTTTCTAGAATGGTGTTTTATGTATGGATAATTTGTATTGAGAGATTGATATTTGACTTTAATTTTGATAGAAATTTGTTATTGTTAATTTTTTACGACAAAAACCCGTGGATACCCATGAACTCGCGGATACCCAGCGGGTTGGGTTGGGTTTGAGTTTTTCAAACCCAGTGGGTTTTACCCCGGATTTTTTTCACGGATAAACCCTTGGGTTTGGCTATGGGTTTGACAATAAACTACCCAACTCGACCCATTGTCATCTTATTCAATTCTCTTCATTTGTAGTTAACTACCCAAGAGGAAACGTTGTAAGTAGTTAAATCTCCATTGACAAATTTCATTTCATGATGAAACTATTCTAGTCATAAGTATATAGGGCAATGAGTCCATTCATTGGATATTTTGACCCAATTGTCATGTCATGTGAGTATTGAATTGAACATATATCTACTCATAATAGATATGGATTTGGATAGAATTTGGATTGGATTTGATTTGGGTCAACTCAAATGGGTCACACCCAAATGGATCTATTTAAGTTACAAATGATTGCACACACTGAAAGACAATATCGATCATCTCACTAACTTCTTTCAATTCGTACATTTATTGTTGGTCTTTTAACATGTTTGTTTCAGAACAAAAGAAAATGCAAAACCCGCATTAGAATCAAACATTCATTTTTTATTGGGTACAAAATATTATGGGTCTAATTTGGACACAAACTAGAACATTGTGTATAAGTCTACTTCAAAAGTAATATTACCCAAACATTAATTTTGACATCCCTAGTCATAACACAAGTATTATAAAACCGTACCGAAGGTTGGTACTAGAAAAATCAGTAATACAGTGGTTTGAATTTAAATTGTGATTCAACCATTTCATACTGAAAAACTGTCTACCGATTTAGATTTCCATAGACCGTTTTTTCGGCTAGACCATCCACTCGATACGCTTTTGCAAAGATTAAGACTAGTAGTAAGTGAGTTTCCAATATGACATAAATAATCAACTTTAGCAGTTAGAGTTTGAAATTGTGGTTGGTCCCCGCTTAAGAAAACCCAAATGCCAAAGCGATAGCTAGTTATTCAGGAACAATCTCCCAAAAGGAGGGTTGGTTGGCATTTACTGAATATCTAGCAAAAAGCTTCCTTCACCAGGCGGTACAATTTGACCTGCCCAAACCTTTGGATTTGTCATCCTAGAATGTAATAACCCATCTCACTGAATTGGTATATCTAGGAGCGGAATGTAAAAGAAAAGTAGGGTAGAAACAAGATTCAAATTGTATCCTATTTGACTAATTGTTCATATTTATTTAGCTCAATAAGTTTTTCATACAATGGCAGGAAGTGGTATCATATTGATAATAGGCTCTTTCTCAATAACTTGAGTGATTGTACCAACTGTTTCTCGACATCATATCAAAGTGTGAAGAAGATGAAATAAAAAAAAAAATACTAGGAACTGAGCTAGACATGAATTTGATCCCAATTGATCTCACAATGGTTGAAGGAAATATGTTCTACTATAAATTAAAATGAGTTGAGTATCGCCAAATCCAGACCTAACCGAGTTTTACCTACCCAGCGAGCAGGATCGAGAACGGTTTGCAAGTCCTATTTGCCTCTCACCCCTTTCAAAAACCTACATCTTTGCAAAAATATCTCTACATCATAGGTCATGGTTTGAGGTTACCAGCGGGCTCTGTCCTCTGATAATGGCGTTAATGGAGACTGATACATACAAAACAGAGCAAGGAATAAAGTTGGCCTCCCAGCCCCAGGGGGAAATGTTAGATTGTTATGGTAGGTGGAAACATCATAAGAGATCCAATTCCGATAACATATTTTAGTAGAGTCTATTAAATGAATTCGAATAGGAGGAAAGAGTTGGATGTAGGAATCACAACTTAGAGTTCTATCTAGTGACCTAACTGTCAGCTGTCCCAGTAGCTCCTTCGTTTCCATTCTCATTGATTGCAAAGTGCTTGTGTTGTTGGATTTTGAATATGTAGACCTTCGTCTTAATCTCGTTATCAATGCATATCAACTAGAGTGGTTGTGATGTCGGATTTTAAATCTAGAAACCATAGTTTTAACGCTCATAACCCGCAACACTCTCCAGTCCCCCTGTCGAGGCACCAATAAAAATATCGACCACTTCCAACTACTCAAATTGTCGAGATAAATTAAGACTCAGTATGATATCAAAAATCTTCAAACGTCCGAAGATGACATGGGCGTAGCCGTCGGAAGAGGGATGATTACATCTGATAGGCTGTCAGAAATAGCGGAAAAAAGAAAGGAGCTTTCCTAAGTAGTAGGTTTGAAAATTCAATGGTTAAGGATTCAACAAAGAAAACTGCATCCGATGTTGCATCAGTTATGGTTATGTTTACGAGTAGAGTACCAATGGAAATGCATGACACCTAATAATAACCGTTAACATAATGATATTATATGCGATCAACTTTGCCAAACCCATCTAGGTGTGACTAAAATGATAAGGTACGGAGGGTTAACACAATGTTATGCTGACTTAGATTCCTTCCTCTAATGTCGATAGTAAAGTTCATCATTTCAGCTCAGTGGCGAGACTATGAATCAATAAAGATTTGATGATAGCTCTCCTCGTACACAATTCTACCTATTTTAGCTAACTCCGATCATAGTTAGCAAATACTCCGTGTAATACACGTATATTTACCTGTATATATTTTATCCGTTTAAAACTTCTGTATCCGTATTATTGTCAAACCGTTTCATTTGTTTTTCTGTTCATTTGATGGCCTCCCGTATTAAACACGTATAAAACCCGTATAACACGATTAATCTTCGTATATAATGAGTTAAATTATTTATATTTAAATAATTAATTTTTTAATATTTATAACAATTAACGTACTATTAAACGTAACATTAGCATAAAGACGAAGTAAAATACCCGTACATATTTTATACGTAACTTTCCTCTACCATATTTTACTAACTATAACTCCGACCACCAGACTAGTTTTTCAACATTTTATGAAATACTAGTAGATAAAAAAATCTCTCTAAATAACTCAATTTCTTTGATTTAACAAATTTGTTGCAAATATATTTGGGGAAAAAATATATGCAGAAAATTTGGCGATCATAAATCACCTTTTCCACATTCCATGCACAATACTCAAATATAAAAATGAAGAGCAGAGAGAAGAACTATTCAAAATAAAGCGTCCCCTGTTTTCTTTGGTCCCTGATTTCCCCTGTTTCTTGGCTATAACACTTACATATTTAATCTTCAAGAACAGAAAGTCATAATTAAAAAATGATTGATGGATGATTAAGGTCGTCTCTACTCTACATTTTCTTTGGCCAACATGCAGACAAAGGGAACAAGACGAACAACCACTGCAGGAAAGAAAGCAAGCAAAGCATCATACTCTGCCCCAAAATTATTCAAAAACAATCCACCAAATCAATAAATAACGCTTCTTCCACTTCCAGTTTGGACTCTTGTATTCATCCATCTCCCACTTCTCCACAAACCCAAAAAAACCCTTCTCTGCCTTCCTCTGCTTTCTTCTTCCCTCACAAATGGAAAACCGGTTGAGTACCCGGATCTCTCGCATCTTCCGGGGCTCATTCGGGTCCTCTTGCCGGACCCGGAATCTCTCCGACGTCGCCGAGAAGGCCGTCTTCATCCCCCACCGGCAAAACATCAACAACGATGAAAACGGCTCTGTTTCGACGCTAAAGGCTCGACCTTTCCCGACCATATGCAGAGCAGCAACCTGCCCTGAAACCGCAACTCAAGTGATCAATCACTGTACCATCCCTTCAAAGAGGAAAGAATCTCACCAAAGAAGATACCCTCCTCTCGTTCCTAACTCCGGGAAAGGCTTCCCTCCGGATTTGTCGTCCCCTGTTTCTCCCCTGACCCGGTCATACTACCGGAAAAAACAGAGTACCCAGAAACAGGGGACGAAAAGCAAGAAGAAGAAGAAAAAGAAAAGGGGCGGAACCCAGAAGCGGGAAACGAGTTCTCTTATGAGTTCTTCGTCCCTCGACAGCGTCTACTTCGGCGGGAGTTACTATTGGTTCAGCAGCGAAGACGAAGACGAAGGAGGAGGAAAAGGCGATAAGAATGGATATGAGAACGATGACGAATCCGACACTCTGTTTTTCTCCTCCAGAAGCCTCTCCTCCGATTCGTCGGCTCTCTCTGCCAGCCGCCGCCACCGAAACCGCCGGAATCATCGCCGTGAAGGGTATGCCACAGTCGAGTCAGGGAGGAAACCGAGAGGAAGCGAAATCGACAACTCGAAGAAGGGCGTCGCTAAAGCTGCTGCTGGCGATGCTAAAAGTGGTGATAAAAGCGGGGAGCTGCCACTGGAGGGGAAAGTGAAGGGGAGCTTTGCAGTGGTGAAGAGCTCGAGCGATCCTTACAACGATTTCAGGACATCAATGGTGGAGATGATTATAGAGAAGCAGATATTCGGGGCCAAGGATTTGGAGCAGCTGCTGCAGTGTTTCTTGTCTCTCAACTCCGATCATCACCACAGGATCATTGTCGAGGTTTTCACTGAGATTTGGGAAGCTCTCTTCTCCACCTTCTATTGATCAATAAGATGGGGAAATCGGTATTAATGGTAATGGGTATATTAGGATTACAGCTCTGTAACTCTGCTCTGTTTCTGTGTGAGTTTGATCTCTCTTTCTCCCTGCCTAAGTTGTTGCTGTAATTGAGTTCTGACTATGAACCATTGACTGCTCTTCTTCTGTTCTTGCTGTAATTTGATTTTCATTAGCTTGAAATAATGTAAGATCGGGTTGCGCATTGCTGTGTAACGGAAATGTCAAAGTATGTTTGGGGGTTTCTTCTCTTGCGTGTGTAATGTGTTTTGAGTTTTGACGATTGACAAGATGGACCAAAAGGCCTGGCTAGGGGGGAAAATGAAGCACTTCCTTTTTCAATCTTTTTGGATTCGATGGAAAGGGTAAATGTGTTCCTATCTGTCTCCAATTATCATGCCGTGTCAATCGGGTTACGGTTTTGATTATATGAGGTTATAGTATTCTAGTGTGAGTTGCTAACGAGGAGTGGGCTATCAACAACCATTAGCGAGTTAGAATGTCCTAACCAATTTAGGTGTTTTTATCCATTGGATTGGTGCAATAAGATCGTATGTAGCATGATTGGTGCAACGTGTAATTCAGCTTTCACCACATGCTTGGTATCGGTTGAATCACCTCACTCAAATATTTTTATTCGTTGGATTACATGGTGACACAAAACACTATCTAAAAGTTATGTCTTTCGCATCTCTCATTCAAATTGATGAACTTACTACTTAAATCCGATTGGATTCGGTTGGGTAGGGATGGCAATTTCGACCTGACCCGATTTACCCGACTTGTTTGGTCTGTTTTGGGCAGGTCCGACCCGCCCCGTAGGTGGGGCGGGGCGGGTATGGGTACTTCTCATCGACCCGACCTGTCCCGACCCGCCCCATTCTTGATTCGTTCCTATCTAAATTACATGTGATTTTAGTCAAAATACTTAGGATTTTCCTCTTATTACATTATATTTTAGCTATAATAAAGTTGTAAATAAGTAAAAACCTCAATTTCTCCAATAACTTAATGACATTTTATCATATAATGGTTTCTTTCTTGGTCATTTAATGAAAATAACGAATATTTCTAATGTTTTTCCCATAAATTACATACTCATTGGGTCGACCTGCCCCTGCCCGCGCCCCATGATAAATTACCTGACCTGTACCCGACCTGCCACAGGACGGGTATGGGTATTGAGATACCCGCCCCGGACCTGCCCCATTGCCATTCCTAGTTGGAGGCTGTACTAAATTCCTCTATTATTTTGAACTTGGATGATGTGGCAGTGATTCTATGGAATTGGGGTCGTTTGGATGAGGAATTGTAATGGATCAATTTGCCAGAATTGTCTCGTTTTGAGACAATTGTACCAAATTGCCTCGTTTGCCAGCAAAAAATTTGGATGGATCAATCTGCCTGAGGTATTTTGAATTGATCCGTTTTGAGTCAATTTCAATTACCTGAGGTGGGCAGGTAATTTGAATTAACTCGTTTATAGAACGAGACAATTGATCAAATTGACTCATTTCTAGATTGATCCATCCAAACAACCCCAAAGTATTACGTTTGATGTTTGAAGATGTCATTGTAGGTGTAGAAAATATTTTCAATTTTGTATATTTAATTATTTTGTGATGTTCAAATCAAATAGCAACATGTTCGTTTGTAGTCCAACGGTTAGGATAATTGCCTTCCAAGCAATAGACCCGGGTTCGACTCCTGGCAGACGCATGCAGAAACGAAATTAACAGAATTTCTAACATAGCTCGTTTTTTCTAGTTAATTTTTTTTTATTTTTTGTTGTTATTGTTATCTTTTTCCGAGGAAAATTAACTAAATTTCTAACATAACTCATATTTTCTTGTTAATTTAATTAATTTATCATTGTCATTTTTTTAGGGGTGGACAAATGGAGTCTGAAATTCAAATGAGAATGAGCAAAAAAGTCATTATTGGATGGATTTGAATCATAGTCATTAGAGAGGGCGGGCTAATGCCTTACCAACTAGACTATTTTTAGAACTTGCTACAAATGGTACATATTAATATATCTACAATTGAAAGTTGGGGGTACTATAGCCTTACCTGAGATTAACGTAGGAACAAATTAAAAAGGACAAAAAGAAAATTTTCTCTTTAGAAATGCAACCTTTTAGGTTAGGTCTTGTGTTCTGTTTTTCTACTACCCTGCTTTTCTCTGTGGTGGGAGTTCAAACTCGAAAGGTTGAAATAATTGGGAATTGGGAGCTTTTTCTAATGGAATGGATTTGAAAGCAATGCTTTGCATAGAAAGACAAAAGGTAGTATGCATGGTAGGATCTCTATTGGTGGGGTTCGAACTTACAGATTGCACACTTGCACGTTGCACCAAACCAATAGGTTCAGTATAGTGAAAGCCTTTTCATGAATTTTAGACCCAATATATATCAATGGAAGATTTGAATTTTAGCCATCCAATAAGAGTGCATCAATTCAATCCCTCTCATTTGATCAATTCCAAATTCAAACATTTTTATACAGAAAAATTAATTGTATGTGATCCTTTCGAACGTATGGTCACAATCACGTGTTAGATAATTCGTGTACGAGAATGCTATTAAACTACACAAAACATTGTATCACAATTGTAGAACTAATGGTCTATTTTTGTATCATGGTGGTGTTGTCTTGTACCCTTTTTGATACTCGAGAGTTGTATCCAGTGTCCATGAAACCGTACCGTACCGGCGGTTAAACCACGAAATATCAGTATTGGAGGCTAAACCGATAGGCGGTATTTACCGGTATAACGGTTGAACTACGGTTAAACCACGGTTTTACCATAAAATACCCTACCGCTGACTTTCCCGGTACGGTTTCATGGACCATTTGTACCTGCATGAGGACATTAATGACATAAAAAAAATATAATAATTTTTTATGGAAAAAGATATTATATAGAAACAATAAGTAGATGAGTGTTAGACCGAACATCGAGAATCATAAATTGGTGTATATTGTATGAGATAAGATTTTAAGTGGTCGGTTCGATTCACAATGTTGGAAAAAAAATTTATCATTAAAACTTCATCCAGTTCTACTAAGTCACAAATCGGCTACAATGTAACCCTTATTACGATAATTGATTAATATAAATGATAAAAGAAACTCATCCGGCCAACAAATCGACTAAAAAATAGTAGATTTAATCCTACTTTTTTCTCTCTTTCCCTATTAAAGCAAATAAAGTTATAGATCTAATCCATATTCAGATTCCATTGTAACCCTTATTCAGATTCCAATCTGATCCAACTCAAAAAACCCTAGCCCCCCCTTAATTTGTATGAAGAAAAAACAACAGCCTTCTTCTGCTTCACCTTTCCTGCCCTAATTCTCCCGTACTGTCTGCTTTTAGCAATACAACGAGACAATATAGAAGCTAATACTAGCTAGCTTGAGATAACTAAGAAAAAGAAGAACATCTTCTCTCTGTCCTTCAACAGAGTCAAACCAAGAAACACAATTACAACAATAATAATTTCATCATTGCCGATAAAAGCAAGCAGCTATAGTCAATAGATATAGCTCGACATTTCTCACTCTCTGCGCCATTCTGCTGGGTAGTGTAGTGAGTAAAAAAAAGCAGACTGGCCGGGGAAGAGCCCCAATGCAACAGAGCCAACCAATTTGTAACAGTGGGAGAGGCCCGTGAGTTCCATTTTCAGAAGGTCTTCACAGCAGCTTCCCCTTTGTTACTTTGTAGGAGAAGAGAGAAAGTGAAATGTACCTGCGGCTCGAGAACCCAAAAAATGCGACAGGCAAATGGCACTGCCATATGTGTCTCAGCAATGGAACTCCTTCCTGTTGCTTCGCCCAGTTAGGAGGCCTGTGTCATCAGTTTGAAAAATCATCGATCGACAGAAAGAAAGAAGAAAATAAATGGTACGTGTTTGTTCACAGTGTGGTAAACTGTAAAGCTTAAAGTATCAATACTGGCTAATAAGTTAAAGTTTGTGGAGTTCTAGTTTAACGGTATATCATGACACAATGAAGCGAGCTCAATGACTCTGGTTTGGGCCGCTTGGACTATCTATTAATTCTGCCTCGACTCTAATCCTAAAGAGAAAAACAAAAATTCAATCACCCATTGTCGCTTCAAGAAAATGTTAAATTAGGTGGCACCTTCTAGTGGTATATGGGTAAGCATGCAACGTTTCCATCCGCTCAGGATTGCACCAAGCTCATGTGAACCCTAGTCCAATAGTTAAAAAAAAGTTTAGGACCAAGGACCAGACTGGCATTTGCATTCTAGTCCAGTTTGTCAAAAGTCCATTTTCCTTCCATATTTATAAAAGTCTTGAGACCAAGGACTGGATCACGCTATATTCGTTTTGATATTATTTGGTCCAAGCATCGGTTTGATCTGGCTCCGCCATCTCCTGTACAAACCAATCCATTGCACACCTGAATATATATCGAAATAAATGCTAGAGTCTGCTGAGGGTCGTTTGGATGAGGAATTGTAACGGATCAATTTGACATAATTTTCCCGTTTTGAGACAATTGTACCAAATTGCCTCGTTTTCTAGCAAAAAAATTTGGATGGATCAATATGCCTGAGGTATTTTGAATTGATCCGTTTTGAATCAATTTCAATTACCTGGGGTGGGGGCAGGTAATTCAAATTGACTCGTTTTAATTGCCTCGTCTATAAAACGAGACAATTAATCAAATCGACTCATTTCTAAATTGATCCATCCAAACGAGTTAGACAATAAGCACACAGCTCGTACTACAACTACCAAAGTCTGTAATTCTTTGCTCCCGACTTCATTTCTTTATATGTCAAGTTTTTTTTTTGGTTCACAATCCACATTTTAGATGGCTAAAAATCACAACCGTATTCATTTGAAAGAATAAAAAAAAAACAAAAAGGTAACAAGTACACTAATCTTTTTCTTACTAGCTATCTCATTCATATGCTTGTACACCAGCCAAAATAATATGGCAAGCCAAGCCTGGTCGACTACAAATTGCGAGAAAATGACCCGGCAAACCTGAGAGGTGAGAAACCCATTCTAGTATACTAGCTAGCTTGTGGGCTGAGCCAGTTGGAATGGGCTCAAGAACCCAAAACAGTAAATGGCTGACTGGCTGGCTTAGATTAGACAGATACTGCTGAACCAAATGAGGCTGCCATTCTCCAGCGACCTCTCTTCCCCCAATTCGCATCCTCTTTTAGGAAAGACTGAAACCCCACTCGCCCACTCACTCACTGCCCTTTTTGCCTTGTCAATTTTTGACAGACCTTTCTCTCTCACTCACTGATAAAAAGCCAGCAAATGAAACAAAAATGCAAAAAGGTAAAACAAT